CCAGGGCTTGGGCGAGATCCGCCTCCCTGGCCCCCGCTCAACGGCGGCGGGATTGTGCGGCTCTCACGCGCCCCGCCGCCTCATTCTGCGAGATGGTGCACTCGCAGAAGTCGATTCGTCGTCGCCGAACATCGATGCCACAACACTCGGCAACGACAAGTCGTTTCCTATTTTTGCGACGAGGACACGGGACGGCTGTACCTAGTTAAAACTTGAAAGCAGATCACGAAGCTTCGTGGAAGAAACAGGTGTTTAATAATTTTGCGGATTTGATTTTTAAGCGCCATGTTTTACCGTCATCGTAAATATAGTGAATACGTGTGGGATTCGTAATTACTTACAAATATTTTTTTTACGAATTTCACACAAGTTAAAAACAGTGCTGTGCTACGCAAAACCTCGTTCAATTTCTGATGGTAGAGTATCTAATGAGCCCGCACGGGTAGGTACCGCCATCCCGCCTATTTCTGCCGTGAGGCAGTAATGCGTTTCTGTTCGAAGCTGTTGGACTATAGCTATAACTGTGTTAAGGTGGGTGGCGGCATATAAGTTACTGACGTCTGTGGGCTCCGGCAACCACTTAACACTAGGCCCCTGAGCTGATCTCATCCACTCATCTAAGTATTAAGAAAAAAAACACGAAAAAAAAATCAAATTTAATAAACTATGGTGCTCTAAATACAACTTTATTAAAATTCTCGGCGGTCCACTCCCGCGGGTTACATAATCCATTTGAAAACCCCCAAGTTTCAAACATTACTTTTTTTTTGAGTTCATCGTAAAGTTCGGACAGAACGTGACAATTTTATAGATCGATAAAGACAGCGTTATCAAAGGAAGATGTAGTACGTGGTATTATTAAAGTGTCATTCAAGAAACTAAGATAGCAGATTCGAATAATAATAATAAAATAATAAAAAATGTTTTTTTGTTGTTGCTTAGATGAGTCGACGAGCTCACAGCCCACCTGGTGTTAAGTGTTTACTGGAGCCCATAGACATCTACAACGTAAATGCGCCACCCACCTTGAGATATAAGTTCTAAGGTCTCAAGTATAGTTACAACGGCCGCCCCGCCCTTCAAGCCGAAACGCATTACTACTTCACGGCAGAAATGGCAGGGTGGTGGTACCTACCCGCGCGGACTCACAAGAAGTCCTACCACCAGTAAAAAGATAGATATAGAGAGCTATTCAAATAATTGTTTCTACGTTGGTTAAATGCTTTATGAATATGGCGATATGAACGGGATGTTACACAGAAATAGATAGATGGGGCGTCTAATTTAACAATTGACTGTTTACGTAACGCTCCGTAGTTCCAATATCCTTTGCAGAGGCTAGTTTTTTGTTTGGAGTAAACGGACAGACAGAAGTGGTCACGGCGCATTCGGTATTTCCATCTGTACCCGCTATGTAGTCAATCTAAGGTAGGTACGCACTACAAAAACAATTTGTTTTAGCGCTCTCTCAACTACATAAATATCTATAAAACGTAATCTGTAAATATAATTTTCGCTGACTTCAAGACATTCAATTTATATTCAAAACGTATACACGTATCAAGGAATAATATGATAATTTGACCTAATATCTTGATCTGTATGAGTTCGACGAGCGAACTAACTCATAGACACTGAGTTTCTCGCCGGATCTTCTCAGTGGGTCGCGATTTCGATCCGGTGGTACGGGTAGGTACCACCATCCCGTCTTTTTCTGACGTGAAGCAGTAATGCGTTTCGGTTTGAAGGGTGGGGTGGCCGTTGTAACTATATTGAGACCTTAAAACTTATACCTCAGGGTGGGTGACTCATTTGCGTTGTAGATGTCTAAGGGCTCCAGAAACCACTTAACACCACGTAGGCTATAAGCTCGCTTTTATTCGGCTTGCTATAGGTAGTAGCTTGTTTTTATTAACGACCATTATATAAACAGCAAACAAAACGAAACGCATAGCTGTTTCTATTAACGTAATCTCATTTATTAATATAACTTTACAATTAATTTTAAATGGACAAACACAGAAGTTAACCTAACACAAGCCGAACTATTCGGGACTTTGCTACTACACACAATAAATCTCAGAGAGCCACACCAATCTCAACTCTCTACAGTTTAATTAGACCGTTCCGGGTTCCAACTGCAATGCCGAAACACCTGAAATTTATTCATTGACGATTCTCAGTCAATACATTACCAGGGCGGGTTCGAGGTTAGCTTATATCATGACGGTTCCGTAGTATTTCGTAGATACGTTTGAACTGATTAAAATCAACGTGGGAACTTATTCGGGTTGACGAACATTTTGACGATGATCAAATCGATTTTCAACCTAATTTTCAAAAGTATTACGTTTAATAATTGTTAATAGATATGCTTTAACAAAAACCGAGTTCAAATAGAAAAAAAAAAGATATTCCAAAACAAATTAATATACACTAAAAATAATAATCATCGAAATCGGTTGGCGTGATATTGAGTTATTCATCTATTTGTCGCGCACGTACTTAATGCAAATTTAAGACTAATATCGTTTTCTCATGGATACCATTATCAGAACTGGACTAAATTGAAATGGAACCACACGGGAAGCGTCAGCTTTCTAATAAAAAAAGAATCATCAAAATCGATTCATCCAGTCAAAAGTGATGAAGTGATGAAAGTGATGAACAAACATAAAAAAACATACAGTCGAATTGACAACCTCCTCCTTTTTTGAAGTCGGTTAAAAACGAACTTGAAAGAGGTGGATTAAAAAGCAAAGCAGAAAAGCAACAGAAATAGTCACCTTTAATAACCCCATAATAATCGTGAGGATTCCTCTAAAGATATTATTATACGACTTATAGCCAATTGTTTTTATTGTTTAATCTCCAATTTTTTATTGTCATTATATTTCCAACGTTTGGAATTTTACAGTTTTTACGGTCAAGGACGAATGACAATAAAAAACGTGAGATGTAGATATTAGTTTTAATTTTGTGTACATCTCGGGAAACCCGAAAAAATGCTATGTTGCCTGATTCGATGGTTTGGGGTTTAAGAGTTACGCACAGACACAGCCCACTGAGTTTCTCGCCGGATCTTCTCAGTGGGTCGCGTTTCCGATCCGGTGGTAGATTCTGCGAAGCACTGCTCTTGCTAGGGCCAGTGTTGGCAACACCTCCGGTTTGCGCCCCGAGAGCTCACCTATACGCTAGGGTAACACTGATATAGCTTCTCAAGGCTATCAGCATAGGTAGGAAAAAAAGGGTTATTTTTTATTCTATTGCCTTTGTAGACATACGGCCCACGTGATGGTTTGTCGTAGAAGAGACACCGCATGATTAACGAGCCAAAACCGTGATGACGAATTATAGAATGCACCGCTTATAAAATGAAGTTCACAATATTACATCACTAAAATAGTTTACATTATATCTACGTAGAACAATAGTAAATGTAAAATACCATTATCGGCGAAGTAATTTAAAAACAATCTAACATAAACATCACAGAACGCACCGGTGAATGTTGCAATGCGGAGATCAATGCACGATCGTACAATTTTCCTTTCATCACTGCGATTTATTGGAAGAACAATACATATTAGAAGCCATTATACATGTTACATACAATTACAATAAAACATTATTATACATATGAGTATAATAATGTTTTATTATAATATAATTTTAGTATAAGGCACAGAGGCAGAAATCCAATGCGCTGGTCGGACCAAATACGCTCCACTCTCAATACCTCAGTCCACGTTGCTATCCACACAGCCGAGGACAGGCAGGAATGGCGCAAGATGATGCAGGAGAAAGTGATTAGAGGAGGCCACGACCCTCAGCACTGAGGATTATCGACGCAAGGAGGAGGAGGACACGCGCGGTTTCAATATAAGAGGTTATTCTGAATATTTATCCTGAATTGGAAGGAGCGTCGAATTTTACGTAATGATTAGGGTCCTTTGATTATTTAGGCTCTATTTGAAATGACTAGCAGTCCGTACTGACGTGATGTACCCGATCTTGACTTTATCTAGCTTTTCCCGGGACAAAGCCGTTTCATTTTCTCGCAATTGACTGCATTTTGTAGGGGTCTGTAATCTGTGTACATTTTCTTCTAACTAACTTTAGGGCTCATAATATATTAAAACTTATAAACCTTTTTTTCTTGAGAATATCTCGTAACAGTCATTCTCTTAATATTGTCGGAGAATCTTCAGGTATTTGGGAACATCGAAGGCTTGACTACATATTTTCTTTGTCCTGGGATAGATTTCCATCCTGGGAAATGTTTTTGTTAGATAGGTCATCGCCAACAGAAATGAAAATTGCAATTATAATTTTTTTATAGTATCCGATTATTTTTTTGCTACCTATGCTGATAGCTTTGAGAGGCTATTTCAGCTTCTTCTTGACGTGTAGGTGAGCTCAAGGGACTCTAACCGGAGTGTCGCTAACACTGGCCTTAGCAAGAACAGTGCTTTGCAGAAAATCCGATACTGCAAAGGGTTCGATATTAATTCGAAATCAGGTACCTTTGTTAAAAATACTAGGTATTTTGGATCTGAGTTTACTTATATCACGTATTTTTATTTGACCTATATTTATATTTCTACACGGGAGAAAATCTCTATTAGAACCTTTTCAAGTGAAATGTTTTTCTAAGATATAGATAACAGAAGTGCATTAAATATTTTTTTAGTTAACCGAACAATTATAAAATATACTATCTATATTATCAAATATTATAAATCAAACTTCTGTGTAGTTAGTTTCCCGAGGTTCCCTTTTTAATACACAAAGTTAGTTTATCGGCATTTTATTGCAATATTTACTTGTGTTCTTTTGTAAAAATGTTCAATAGTTAACAGACCATAACTATTCTAGACCAGTGAACTCATAGTGAACTCTCATTATGAATGTTACGGTAATAAATACCACTAGTACTTTGAATAATATTTTAAATAAGCGTAAAACTACAGGTAAAGATTCATAATTGTTGTACTTACGGATTTTTTTCGTTGAAAATAAAATCACTAAAACGTGTAGAAGACAGTCCCATTTTAACTCCATTTTTAATTGTTTTTAAATGTAGTTCACTGAACACAACAAGCAATGTTTGTTTTTAATCATAAAACCGAATATCACATTTTATTGATACAATAAAATATTAAAACACATACTTTTTATCAATAGGCTGTTAACAAAAATACTAATAACTTATAAACATTATTTACATAATTTTATTAAAAATCGCATAGACATTTGCAAAACAAATTTTAAACTTTGGAATACGTTTTTGGCGCGAAACGTCTTCTCAAACGTTCGTTACACTCGCGAGTATAGTTCGATAGTAACGTAAAGGCACGAACACACCGTTGGTGATCGACCCCACCGGAACCACACTCTGTAAGCGCTCGACTGCCGAGTCCGTGTGCACTGCACCGCAACAAACCTCCTACTAACACGACCTTCCATATAAATTTGATCTTTAATACTCAACGATATGGTTTATAATACAAGAACTTATTCAGTAATCTAATGATACTGTCTAGTTTTGTAGAGCGTGCTCGCGTATTAGTTCTATTGAAGGTATCGTACGGAAGCCGTTTATAAAACAATGAATAGGAAGATTAGTAGGATAAGTTTATTAGAAAGTCATGATTTCTCATTATGCATCCAAAGGTTCAAAAGGCTTATAGAGTGTACTTAACGGTAGGCAGCTGCTTGGCTGTTGCCCTGGCATTGCTGACGTCCATGGGCGACGGTAACCACTCACCATCATACAAGGGCAATAAAAAAAGGTAATAATACCATACTGCTCTACCTATTTTGTATTTGAAGGACTGCTTGGACGAACCGCCCGACGCTACGAGGCTTTTTTTTTTTTTTTTGGTCAGGAGGAAATCTCCGGACTTCCGCCCTCCACTGGGGACGGCGGGCGGAGCATGTCGGAGTCGAACCGACTAAAACCTCCTGTCGCTCAACAACCAACGTCCAAACCTCACATGAGACAGAACTCATGAAAAGGCAAAGGGAGGAAAGTGAAGTGTTTAGTGCGGAGCACATCTCTCCCATCACCCTCCCCCGACGCTACGAGGCTTGGGATATTTTATACGATATTTTAATAGGGTTACTACCCTCGTATAGCTTATTATTCTAATATCAATCAATCTTCATTTTTTAATCGTTTTTTTTGCTTAGATTGGTGGGCGAGCTCACAGTCCACCTAGTGTTAAGTGGTTACTGGAGACCATAGACATCCACAATGTACCTAAATACCGTCACCCACCTTGAGATATGGGTTCTAAGGTTTCAGTATAGTCACGACGGCTGTCCCACTCTTCAAACCGAAACGTATTACTGCTTCACGACAGAAATAGGCAGGGCGGTGGTACTTACCCGAGCGGACTCAAAAGAGGTCCTACCACCATTAATAATAAATATACACAAATTTCTGAGAAATATATAAACGCAATCAGTACCTAATGAAGCGAATTGTGCAAATTGAATAATTAGGCATGCTTGATTACTATTTGATTCTCATAATCATTATCTATTCATCGAAGTCGTTATTTTAACTATACGAGTATAAACGACATTAAAATATTTTTGGAATTTACCACCTAAATATTTTGTTTACCTAATTATTTAATTTACTTTTTATTTTAGAGTGCATTTTTGGAAACTAACGTCCTAAAGTACTTGAGTAACTTCTGTCTGTATATAGCTGCCAGAAGGAAATCTCTGGAAACTATAATATATATATTTTTGTCCCTACCTATGCTGATTAGCCTTGAGAGGCTATTTCAGCTTCTCCTTGACGTGTAGGTGAGCTCATGGGGCTCTAACCGGGGGTGTTGCTAACACTGGACCTAGTAAGAACAGTGCTCGAGACCGAGAGGGCTGGTGGTCGTGGCGCCGACGACCGCCGGTCCGGCGTCTCGAGGGGGAGGGTGATGGGAGAGATGTGCTCCGCACTAAACGCTTCACTCTCCCCCCTTTGCCTTTTCATGGGTTCTGTCTCATGCGAGGTTCGGACGCGGTTTGTTGAGCGACAGGTTTTAGTCAGTTCGACTCCGACATGCCCCGCCCGCCATCCCCAGGGGAGGACGGAAGTACGGCGATTACCTGCTGACAAAAAAAAAGAGCACTGCTTCGCATAATCTACCATCGGATCGGAAACGCGACCCACTGAGAAGATCTGGCGAGAAACTCAGTGGGCCGTGTCTATGGGTGAAACGATAAGACCGTCCATTGTTACACACTAAATATCATGTCACACGAGTATCACACATATGTTTGCATAATCAAGAAATAATCAAGAAAAAAATATTTATATTTTTTAGACTTTACTGTTTTTTATTGCACAAAGGGGTGAACTAGCTTACAGGCGACCTGGTGTTAAATGGTTACCGGGGCGGATCTGATTTTTATTACACGATGTTATTTTTATGGAGGGCTCTAAATTCCGACGTCACGGAAGTGGAGGAAAAGAGAGCGACGTATTTACTAAGTAATACGTGATTTAATTAGAAATTATGTATTGACAACACGCTGCGTCAACTTTTGCTAAAACATTATAATCTAAGAAGCCAAGTGCACAACAATTGTTTCTATTATATATAAGTCACACTAGCGACTTCGATCTCATGTGTCAAGGCGTTTATTTTGAAGGCCGCGTACCATACCATAGCATAAGCACACGCGTCTCAGACCCAAGGTTCATTAGCTATGATCAGATGAGCTGTCTGCTAGTCTAAATAAAACGAAATAACGCGGCTAAGGATCTTCCAAAATACCAGGTTGACATAAATATAAGACACTTTACTGGCGGTGGGACCTCTTGTGAGTCCGCACGGGTAGGTACCATCACCCTGCTTATTTCAGCCGTGAAGCAGTAATGCGTTTCGGTTTGAAGGGTGGGGCAGCCGTTGTAACTATACTGAGACCTTAGAACTCGTGTCTCAAGGTGGGTGGCGCATTTGCGTTGTAAGAATCTATGGGCTCCGGTAACCACTTAACACCAGGTGAGCTGTGAGCTCGTCCACCCATATAAGCAATAAAAAAATTAGCAAAGAATCTTACATTACAAATATTAGAACACTTTAAAGCAACAATGAAACCACTTTATTTATTTATTTATTATATATTTATTTATTTATTTTTAAGGCACTTTTCCAGTCACGCGCTCATGTTTAGAGGTCGAATGTTTCTGTGGTTCTGGAGACATTGCACTGCGCAGAATCTGTACACTTCGTACTCGAACGGTTTCTTCGGGAGATTTGAGCCACAAAGAAAACAACGCTTCTCCGATGACTTCGCCTGTAAATAACAACATTATCAACGTTTACGTAACTCGAGTATTTTATATATTCCTAAAAATATTTGTTTACGCATCAACTCCTCTTTCGCAAAGTCGGTAAAGAGGCAGGCAGCGCGGCGAGGGAGGGGGCGGCACGGAACGGCGAGCTCCGCGACGCGACATAACACAACCACCTTCACTTCTGAACGGGACTCAACAGCTACAAGACCCGCAATATTAATACTTTCACAATATTACTTTCAATTTAAAATCAAAAAGAATTCAATAGTATTTTGTTATTTAACGGCAGACTTCACAAACCACCTAAGAAAAATCACAAAGGAAATACAGTCTGAAATTCACAATCAAGAACAATAATTATTGATAACGTACATACGCACGTTATTTTAGTAAATATCTCATTTAAATTAATAATAATTACAAAATGAGTTCCACACAATTTACATTTTCTCGTTTAGTTTTTCTCTAACGATAATGGCTCGGAAAGTAATCGAGGTAAATTTGTATTTTAATGATATTTTCACAGTACGCAATGTAAGACAATTAAATCGAAGTTGACGGTCGGGGTCAACGGCCTCGTGTGAACTTACTGAAACAGCTGCTTTTTTTTTACTACATATTTTTTTTTCGCTACTATCTGGTAGCCTAAGTGACTATTCCAACATTTACGGATGGGTAGGTGAAGTCACACTTAACCTGCGAGAGCTTGCTAACACTAGCCCTAACATAGAGCAGTGCTTCAGAAAATCTACCACAGGATCGGAATCGCGAGCCACTGAGAAGATCCTGCGAGAAACTCATTGTGCTTTTTTACTATTTAGACGTCTGTATACATACATAACCTAGCTAGTCAGTGTTCAGTTGTAACCAGAACCAATGAAGATGTGAATGCCGCGGCCATCTTGAGACTAGTTTTGTTGTGTTGTGCAGTTTTGAGAGACGAGACAAGATCATAACTACATATATTATGTAGGCTGTGATCAACTCATGTAAACAAAAATAAAACTACCTTTTTTTCTTTATTTATTTCTTAAGTGGTTACTGGTGGTGTCGTGTTGTTACTGGAGCCCATAGACATCTACAACGTAAACGTCGCCACCTACCTTGAGATATGAGTTCTAAGAGAGACTTTTACTGGTACAACGGCTACCCTACCGTTCAAACCGAAACGCATTACTGCTTCACGGCTGATATAGGCAGGGTGGTGGTACCTACCCGTGCGGACTCACAAGACCATAGACTATTTACTAGTTTATAGTCACTTATACTATGTAGTACTAGTCATTATTTACTAGTTTATGATCCTATGACACTATATATGACAACAAGCCACAGACACATCGCTTCAACCAATAAAACAAATACCTTTTCGGTATCGGTCATCTGCAGGAACTTGTTGGTTTTAATCTTCTCTAATTGCTTCTCCTTGTCTCGTTGTCTCTTAGCTCGTTTCTGTTGTAGTTTCCTCTCTTTCTCTTGTTCCAGAGTCTCGGGAGTCACCGGGCCGGGAATGTGCGACTGAAATTAGACCACCATTTTATGTAAATAGCTATGTGAGATTTAAAATTTTTAATGCAGCCTATAAAAAGCGAAGAGGTAAATTTTCTGTTTGTTATATATTTAACATTATTGGAACTGATTGACTGTTCGGTAGGGCGCGGCTTGGCTCTGCCCCTAGCATTGCTGATGTCCATGGACAACGGTAACCACTCACCATCAGGTGGGCCGTATGCTCGTCAGCCTACAAGGGCAATAAAAAATTAATAAATAAAAGCTGAGCAAATTATAATTTGCATTATTGACTCGCTCCGAAGCTCCTTGATGCAACTTTGAATTTTCACACTCTGAGGAATGAATTTTATATGCAATTATCACTAATTCACTAATTTTCGTTTTAAGCACCGGCGTCGATTTTTACCTTTTTATGAGCACACGTAGTTTGGAGCGTCAACAGATGTCGTGATGAATTGAGGATAGAATAAGGAAAAATCCCAATAACATTCAGTTAGTGGTAATGCGGTAACATCCATTTTGTACCATTTCCTTCTACATATTTAATTTTTCACAAGCCACAGATCATCTACACTTTACCGATCTCTGATTGAAGAAGCCCGTCGCATTGTGAATTCTATCGCTCACATTTTGAAATATGACATAAATTTCCAGATACATCGAAATGGTACTGCGGAACTTTTAATTGTGTTCATTGTTATCAAGCATCATATTAATAAATTACCTTAGCATAATTGTATTTGTCAGGAAACTGAGCCTGGAACATTCTGAAGGCGAGCCGTGTCTCCTGGTGTGGCGAGGCCGCGTACGGGGTCTGCAGCTGATTGTTCCTGATGCACGGATCTCCACCGGCAGTCAGGATCTCACTATTTAATTAAAACATAATTAAGATTAAGTTAGGTTTTTTTTAATTAATTTAATTTTTTTTTTCAATACTTTCCTGTTCTTACCTGTAAAATGAACAAATATCAAACATGTTTTATATTCGTTTGGAATCTTAATTAATTTAAGCATTCCAGTATCAACAGCTCAAAACGATCCTGAATACCTTTGTAGGAAAAAAATGGGAATCAAACTTGGACCCCGCGCACCAGTTAAGATCAGTAACCACTAAACTAACGAGGCGATAAAACAAAAGTATTGATATAGTACCCACGTGACCATATCTGGTTTCGCAGCAATGGCGGCTTTGTGTAGCGCAGTGTTGCCGTCGCTAGGATCGCGAGTGTTACAAGCCTCCGCCAGATTCTCTTCCTCCCAGCCTTCGAATATCGTCTCCAGTGATTTCAATTCATTTCCTATTATCATTTTCCACATCTAAAACATTCGAATGTTACGAGTATTGCGGTTAGAAGAATATGATTTGTATTTTATTTTAATTCTATTTTATGAATTTTAATTGATATTATGAATATTTTAATGATTATGAAAGTTAATATTATTTTTATTTATTATTTAAAAGCATTCGTAAATTTATTACAACGCAGGGAGGCACTGTCTGCCTTTGGTTTTAACTGATAACAGTAGTCCATAGACAACGATGTGCCACTCACTTTGAGACATGAGGTAGAAATCGGAATTATTTCATAAATTCCTAAATGCCTCAAAGCTATCCTGGCTTCACCTGATGTTTAGGCTCATGGGGCGCATCCTGAGACTTGGATATCACCAAGAGCAGTGCTTCGCAGAATCTACCACTAAATTGGGACTAAGAGAACCACCCACTGAGCAGATCCGGCGAGAAACTTGTTAGCTCTTTACATCGGACTCTTTGTGACATTTGGCGAGAACGGTGATCAGTAATATCCGAAATGAGAGTTAAAAAGTTTCGGTAATTACTTGCGTAATTACGCTATATAGATTATTTGAAGGAATTTAGAAATGCATTTCAAAAGTACCTTCTTAATATTATTAGGAATCTTTTGACTGGGCTTGTTAAGAACAGCAAGATCTTTTATCTTTTTCCTCCTATCGGTGTCATATTTTTCTTTTACTTCCTGTTTTAAATCTTCCTTCTCGCTCTCGCAGGGACTAGGTGTTGACCTATCTTGAATAGCACAATCGTTTAGGACAACTTTTTTAGAATTAATAATAATCCCACTGGTTTTTTGTTCCGATAGTGTTTTGATCCAACCTACAGGTGTCTCAGAGTCTATGAAGCAGGGACCTTCGTCTTCGCTCGACATCAACTGAGTTGGTAGCTCTCTGGGAATGCGTTCTCTGTAAATATATTATTTTAAATTAGCATATAGGTAGCTTGTGATCCACCTGGTGTTAGGTGCCATCCAGGGAACAGATGGTCGTATTTTGAGTTCAGACTGCCGGAAGTTGACAAAGTAATTTATTGACATCAGTCATGCTAATGATCCGGTCTAGTAGTTAACATCTAACCCTTCAAAGTCATGGGTGTTAACACATTGGCAGTATAACATTGCATGTTGTTAATAGCATAACGGTAGCCTTCATAAGTAACTATCTTCTAACTTTTATTTCCAGGACAAATCAGACATTCGGAGATATCAGGACTTCCAAAACATGTCTATAGGTCCGGCCAATCACATTAACTGACAGTCACTGAACTTACTTACTCTTGCATTACAACTAAATGAAAACTAATAAATCTATACGTATAAAAATGAATTGCTGTTCGTTAGTCTCGCTAAAACTCGAGAACGGCTGGATCGATTTGGCTAATTTTTGTCTTGAATTATTTGTGGAAGTCCAGAGAAGGTTTAAAAGGTAGATAAATATGAAAACTAAATAAAAATAAAAAAAATTTCCTTTGATGTGTCCTCCGTCCGACGGATTCCTTTTTTTTTATTTAAGTTTATTTTATACAAAAGTTTAGGTCTTTTGTTTATCGATTGAGGCACTACAAAGTCTACCGGGTCAGCTAGTATAGTTTAAAAATCACAAAAACACACTTGAATAACAACGCAAAATTAAATGGCTTTATGCTGATAATCCTGCTCAACCTATTGAGCAAAAGTAATGGAATACTCTATTTTTATCGGACTTTTATGTGTGTGTTTTTTTTTAATTTATCAAATATTGTAAAGATGATGATAACATGTTGAACAATTACATATCCTGTCTCTGAGATCTATCTATCTATGATTTCATATCTCACATATATCTATCTATCTATTATATCATATCTCATATCCATTTATCTTTCAAAGCAGACTGCTGGGCATAGACATCTCCAAAGCCTTGCCACAACCGGTTCTACACTGCGTGCATGTAGCGGATTCCTACGTTCCTCAATAGGTCGTCGGTCCGCTTTGTGGGAGGTCCTTACCACAGTACGTCTTTCAGCACGCGGTCGCAACTCGAGAAATTTTCAGAGATATATTTTTTTTCATGATTATTACGGATTTCCTATGTCAAGATACTAAAAAAATTTTTAAAAACTTACCTTGATTTTGCTCTATCAATAGTTTTACTAGGACTTTTCTTTGCTGTTTTCTTAATATTTTCATTACCAAGATCCAGTGTAGCTTTATTTGCTGGTTTAGCTGTCGATGTTATCAGTGCTTTTTGGAACAACTCCAACGAATCTGTTGCGTGAAATCGTTGTTTAGATTAAAATGTATAAACGGTATTAATTATAATAATCTTTCATAAAAACGTTCATTCCACTTAGAGAATACAATGGTTTTACACCCAAACTTGAAAAAAGGTGAATTTAGTACTTTACAAATTTTTTTTTAATAAATATCCAATAATGACATAATTATGATTCACTCTTCTTTTGTAAAGCCATTGAATATATAACAAAAACATTTCTTTTATAAACTAAAAAACACAGCCTTCACTGTGATGTGTCAGTCATGGACGTCAGCAATGCAGGGCACACTGAGAAAATAATGCATGCTGCTCTAATGTAATAATAATAATAATAATAAGTTTGAAGTATTTTTTCAAACAATTCCATATTCATTCATTCTCTTGTAATCAAAGAGTAAAAGAATTAAGTACACTCAAACTCCAAATGCCATAATGCCTTTAACAAAGATAATAACTCTGACTGGGAAAGGTAGAGTTACTGGTACACAGAGTAAATAGGCATATTGAACGACTTTTTAATTTGCAATACATAATAGGCCCTCTGTTATTTTAAGTGTGATATTGGTACTGCAGTCACAATTTTAGGCATTCTTTTTTTTAAAGTAGCCTTGATATGAGTAAATGGTGCTTTCACATGAATATTCCTACCGAAATAAATTCATATCATAAACTCACCGTAAACCTCTAGACTAGCAAGTGTAGAATGAACCCGCTGAACTTCTTTAAATGTAGGTTTTCTAGTAGGGAAAGGTAGCACTCTAAGTCTTGGATCATCTTTCTTTATAGGGGAGTTCTTCCCAAATATAGCAGCTTGATTTAAAGATCCTACAGCCCGATATAATATTAGAGAACAACCTTTGAAGTCTTCTGTCCATTGACTTACAATATCTTGGATATGCTGTAATAATATAAATTTATCAGTTTTCTAATGTTCCATAGTAAAGATGTATATAAGTATGTATATAGAAAAGAAAATAGCTAGGCTATAGGCTATCTTCAGTCCAAAAATCAATGACACATCAAACAAAAGTTTACAATAAGTTAAAGGTAATTCAAGCAATGTATTTTGCTAATAGCACTGAATATTGCTTATTAATATGCAGATTAAAAATTTCTAAAGTCAATGAAGGAGATGTTAAACCGTTTAAGTAATTTTAAGTATGAAGTTTTTTTTTTATTGCCATTGTAGGCAGACGAGCATACGGCCCATCTGATGGTAAGTGGTCACCGTCGCTCATGGACGTCAGCAATTCCAGAGGCAGAGCCAAGCCGCTGCCTACCATAAAGTACTCTCCGCAAGCCTCGTTTGAAGAAGGACATGTTATAGTCATGGCCTAGCATACTAGACGCCCGGTGCATTCGTATAAAACGATGCAACTGTGCCAGTATTTGAACATTTTTTTGTGATGAAATACATACTTACTTTTCCATAATGGAGGAATACCATTGTGTAACATAATTTAAACCTGCAAAAATTATCGATTGCCTAATTACTGGTACTAGGGTGTGTTGTGAGAGTAGGTACCACCACCCTGCATATTTCTGCAATAAGTAACAAAAAAAATACTACCATTGTAGAAAACCAAACAGCATCAATATCTTATTATGATATTATTTGAGACAACCTCATCTTACCTCTAGAAACTGTGCCTGGTTATATCTTCTAAGGCTAGCACCGGCAGACCTCGCGTGTCCATGATGAGCATCTCTTGTAGCCTGGGCTTGACCTTGCCCTCTCCTTGTGACATATGAATGAAATGTCTTGTGTAGAACTATAGTGCCACCACTGAAAACTGCCCCAGCAAATCTGCCGCCCGAGACCATCAGGACTGCCCATCTTTGATAGCCTGGGATCAATAGCTGCTCCACACGTTCTACCCAGGCACTGCCATCACCATCCGTTGATAATTCTTCCTGTTTTGTAATAATGATCAATACTAATCACTAAATAATATGATAAACAATACAATAAACTTATATACACAATATATGTTTATTTCAATCTACTTCTGGCAATATGCTAAATTTTCTCTTTTCTGTTTACTCAAAATGTTAAATGTTGAACACAGCATAGCAATATCACACGCCACCCATAAAAGAGTTCATAGGTTCAAAGCTATATATTGCTAATATCATTGATGAAGGAACATTTAATTTCTCATGAAGGCAACACAATATTTAGTCATAGCTGAGTAATTGAACTCACAGCCCAGTGTTATACTAGTATAAAATGGTTCGTGGGCCCCATGGATGTCACACTTCAATGCAGCTACCTATCTAAAGAGATGAGATAGTAGTCTCTATAGTATTGCATAGCTGTTGTCCCACCGTTCAAACTGGAATACATAACTGTTTTACGACAGCCACAATAGACCAGATAATGATACTTATCACCACCACCAGAAAATTGCAATTGGTGACTGCAATATTCTGGTTCCGGTAATACTCGGAGAACAGTGCTGCCTGTTCTCTGGTAATCATATATAATTAAATGAAGCAAAAGAGATCAGTTGGAGCTATTTATAGCAAATAATGTAAATTTCTAAAAAGCCAGATGATATTTACCTTCTTATGATGTAGGATACATCTATAAATACAGAAGACCTGCCCATAATGATTAGTGAAGAATGCCTTGCAATGTCTTGTTGCTGCAGCAAATAGGTCACTCGGAGGTCTCTTACTGTCCTCCACTTCTTCCTCAGACTCACTGCTTGATTCATCTACTTAAATATCAGTAACAAAAANACTTCTAAAAAGCCAGATGATATTTACCTTCTTATGATGTAGGATACATCTATAAATACAGAAGACCTGCCCATAATGATTAGTGAAGAATGCCTTGCAATGTCTTGTTGCTGCAGCAAATAGGTCACTCGGAGGTCTCTTACTGTCCTCCACTTCTTCCTCAGACTCACTGCTTGATTCATCTACTTAAATATCAGTAACAAAAACTTATTATGTCATTTTCAAATATCAATCAAAGTATATTTGATTCTATATTGTTTTGCTTGTTGACATTGCATGGTTTTCATCATTTAACTCAAAATTTAGGTCAAATTCACTTTTGTATTCAAACAATCAAGTCAGATTCAAAAGCGTTAAGTTGTCAGAGAAATTAACATTGAATGAATAAATGACAAGTAAAGAAAATTACTTCCTTTCAGGTTTTTTTATGATTGAACAATTACTGGAGACCTGGTGAAAGAGCAAGGGTTCAGCCAGCAGGAGTGCGGTTTGCTAACAGCCACCCAAGCGCCTCCAAAGGAGATCTCACAACTTAAGAGTAGCTGCTTAGGGAATGAATATACTACCTGGTCGGAATTGCGAGTGCCTAGGTTGGGTTGCATATTGAACTCTCTACCGAGTTCACTGAGAACAGTTACAGGGGTCCCTAAGCCTGCTCCTAGTGTTAGAGTTTTGTTGTTGAGTTGAGTTTGAGTTGAAGGCAAGGGTTATGAGATCTGATGGATCCATAAGTAAGTGACATTATTAATGTTTCAGCTACAAAACAAACAAAAAAAGTTTTACGTCACATACCTTTCCGAGAATTATACTGGCCAATGGATAATGGAGATTTTCCGAATAGTTTTCTCTTCAAGTTAAAAGTGTGCCAGTGATGCTTATAATGAGCCGTCTGCTGCGCACGGGTCTCGAATGGACCCACTCCGCAACACGAACAACAATTACCATCAGAAGCACCATTTAAGGTTAAAGCATTAAGTCGACGCAAGACACTCTGTTCATCAACTGAAAATTAATAACAATTTGAGTGTTAGCATTTGACATTTTTTTGACACTACGCATTCCAAGGTTATTTAATAAAAAAAACCAAAAGTTCAGTTAAAAAATTCATGTTTATACAGAAATCGCCCGATACAATCAGCTGTAAATAAGGGCAAACAAATGTTCATAACTTTTTCACTTTTTTTAGGTATCAATTAAAACTATGTTACGAATCTTAAATTTAAACAAAATCTTTTTTCTACCTTGTAAGCTGCACTGGTTGAGAAAATAATTGCACTTACTGACATTATGTGATTCTGTTATCATACATGCTGCCACATGAACACCTTTTAGGAGTTTTTGAAATTCGTCGATCTCATAGACTTTCACGATTTTAGTTTTTACTGCCTCGGGCTTCAGCGCCATTATCGGCTCAGATTGTTGATCTTGAAATATAATGTCCACGTTTTACATGTTATTGCTTAAGTGATACACAATATAATACTTTAATAATTGTCTTGGTTGCTTTACCACTCGATAATATTGTGCAACGAGATTAAAAATTTTGCAATAAGTCAAATAAGTCACTTCACGCTTTGATTTTGAATATGTTCCGATTTACACTGTGTGCACTTACCTATGCTCTTATAAGAGAAAAATTAATTCCGTTTTCTACAATATACTCTCGCAGTATTCTAGGGAAATATAACAGGTTGGGGAAAAACTTTCTTCGCATTTTTTAAGAAAATTTACAACATTTTTTAATATAATTTATTTACATTTAACTAAAGTATGTAGGTACCATTTTGTTCGATAACTTTTTGCCATCTTGTAGTTAGTTAGGGACATGATCCTATTGCTATAGAAATTTTGTGGCTTCTGATAAAAATAACGCGGCAATTGGTTTTGGCAGTCCTCTCGTGATGTTAACCTGACACTGCCTAAAGAATTCTGAAGAGACCGAAACAGGAAGAAATCTGTAAGTACAAGGCCAGGACTATACGGCAAATGCATTAACACCTCCCAGCCAAGCTCTCATAATTTTTGCTGAGTGGCTAAATATGTGTGAGGTCAAGCGTTATAATGGTGAAAAACCACACCCCTTCTGTTGATTAATTCCAGCCACTTTTTCTCAACTTCTTGCTTTAATCTCATCAGTTGTTCGCAGTAGAGTTCAGAATCGATGATCCTGCCTGGTGGTAACAGCTCATAATGAATAATGCCCTTCCAATCCTACCAAACATACAGCATCACCTAGTTGTAAGTTAACCCGGATTTTGGCACAGTCTGGGAAGCCTGACCGGCCTTTGACCACGACCTTTCACGTTCTTGTCGTACGTGATCGACTTTTCATCACCAGTTATCAGTTTCTTCAAAAATGGTTCGATTTCATTACGTCGTAATAAAGAATCAAGAAATGAGTACTCGGTTCATTAGGTTTGTTTCAGTGAGCTCGTGAGGCGTGAAGCCTTTTTTGTGTACCCAGTTTTTTTCAAATGCGCCGAAACTGTTTTGTGGTCAATTTTCAGTTCCTCAGCTACGTCGTAACTACTGATATCCCGATCTTGCCCCACTTTTTAAAAAATGGCATCTATTTCTATATCCGTAACATGGCGACCAGAGCGACGTGCATCTTTGACATCAAAATGCCCGGATAGAAAATGCTTAAACCAAAATTTGTGCTACTCTCACAGACACTGCATTAGGTCCATAAAGCCATAATAAACATCGCAGTTTTTTTTCGCAGCTTGCGTTGCATTTTTACCTTTCTTGTAGTAAAATTTTAAAATGTATCGAATATCTTAATTAGATACATAAATAAAAATCACACAGATTTTCCTAATTTGAATTTGGAATACTCTAAATTTTTTTTTTATTGCTTACTTGGGTGGACGAGCTCACAGCCCACCTGGTTTTAAGTGGTTACTGGAGCCCATAGACATCCACAACGTAAACGCGCCACCCACCTTGAGATATAAGTTCTAAGGTCTCAAGTAAGTTACAACGGCTGCCCCACCCTTCAAACCGAAACGCATTACTGCTTCACGGCAGAAATAGGCAGGGTGGTGGTACCCACCCGCGCGGACTCACAAGAGGTCCTACCACCAGTAACAAAATTTAAACTTTTAATGATACCAAAACCAGCCAGATACCAATAGGTTTTATTAAAAGTTCATACATACTATAAAGACTTTTCCCCAACCTATTATGACGTCATAAATCGTCACCGTTTTCTACTGTGAGCACTGGCGTTTCCCAGGTAAAGTGCTTTGATCACTTCATCACTCTTACTGTGTACAAATCCTTATTTCAATAATTCGGGAATTAAATTATTATACATACATTAAATTGCTTAAAAAACAATATTTAATTGTACTAAAAAATATCCTTGCTTTTAATATGCAATTAATTCAACTGATAAAAAACAAGCTTAAATATTAGTCAAATATAACTAAATTTAAATAATATTTTTTGTTGAAGTGAAAAGAACGCAAAAAATCACCGACGATAGTATACTGTACTGCTTTACGATTTAAACAATAACCAGTATAGTAACTATAAAAGAACAGCTTCGTAGTTTATTACTAAAATAACTTCACATTGTAGAGTGATCGCAGTGCAAATTGGAGCATAGCCTATATATATTTAGAGCATTATCTATGCTCTTTGATCATAAAAAAGATAGAGTTTTCATATTCTGTAAATTGGCCCCGTTCATTACTTTTTTGGCGGGAACATAGATTATACTCTTAATATTTGAGAACGAGAACGGCGGGCGGTAACGAGAGATGCCAACTAATGTAAATTGTATTGTTTTGTTAATTAAGGGTTTCTTGCTGGCTTATACGAGTAATAAGGGTGGTTTATTAACTGTTTAGCATCTGTGAAAGTGCATAAATGTGGAAAGATAAAGCAGTTGCTGGACATAGCTTCTCGGGTTCTTCCAAAAATTACAATAGAAGCTCTGTAAATTATAACCACCATTTTACTGAGACTTTATTTCATACCATCTTATCTCATTTAATTTAATTTCATCCCAATTGATTACAGCTTCAAATAAATCAACTTTACCTCTTTTAATTTTTCACTCTATAATATTTATTATGTCACGGAATTTATATAAAAGATTAGCCTGTATAGAGTTTCACACCTTCGCTTTTCCTCTTGGAAAATGGAAATACTATGTAGGTACTCTAAATTTTTTTCCTTTTTCCTATTTTTATCTAATATGGACTTAATTCAAATGTCTTTTATTAATGAATCAATAACAAAAAATAATACGATTCTAATTTTAAAACTAGAATATTTTTAATCCTATGTAATCTCCGATTCATTCAAATATAGCGACTATTATTAGTGATAGCTAATTTTTGCTTTTTTTGCTTTTAGTTTGTACAAAGGCAAAGGTTTTATCTATCCCGAACCCTAGTGCGTAACAGTATGGTATCCCTGCTTATACATAAACGGTAATAAAGCGATTAATGCTGTTTTACTGTTATACTACTTTAACTTCAACTATATTTGAGCTATTACAACAAGGAGTAGTCACAAACAGCTGGATCTAACTATGAACTCTTTAATCAGGAATTAGATTATTTATGTAGGTACGGTACCTACCTACTATGGAGTGTAGAGGTAAGGAGAACCGTCTCTGTGTGCAAAAAGTGTCCGTTAAAATCTGCTAATTAAGGGTGGCGCTACAGTAGCAAGCAGGTAAATTTAAAAAAAGGCGCTGAAAGTTATTAGAATAAAATAGAGAAATAAAAAAGGACGAAAGAGCTGTAAGCACTACAAAATCACAAAAAGTATTTAATATATAGCTGATAAGAAAATGCAATCGATGTCTCCACGTTTTACCACAGCAATAACTTTAGGTTATATTGACGAAATTTGTTTGGACTACGTAAACATGTGAGGTCTTGTATATTACACTGTCACTAACTACTCTAGTCATTAAATATATTAAATTTCCTAACTAAGCATACTTCAATCAATTATTTTTTTTTTTTTTTTTTTTTATTGCCTTTGTAGGCAGACGAGCGTACGGCCCACCTGATGGTAAGTGGTTACCGTCGCCCATGGACTTCAGCAATGCCAGGAGCAGAGCCAAGCCGCTGCCTACTGCAAAATTAATAACTGTTCTGCTCAATTCTTATCATACCCTGTACCTATGTTAGCACCATTCTGGATTTCTACCCTCCATACTATCTACATACAAAGCCAAGTTCAATTTGTACATTTATGAGATTAAGTCGGGGCCAATTACTAGAGGTCGCTGTCGAAATTTTTTGTTCCATTTTTTCAAACAAGAAAGTCGAAGATATCATATTAAGCAGCGTAATTTTTTTTAATACATTTTTTTTAAATTATTGAATACAATAAAAATTGGATGAAATAAGGTGAATTTGTTTTGTTTAACTGTAATCGACAGGAGTCAAATAAAGTCACAGTAAGATTGTGATAATTTGTTGAGACTTTATGAATCTACTGCCAAAACCATTTTAATGGAAATTCATATTTAAAGACATTTTTTAAATCATAGTTGTTTGACCTTTGTTTGTCATTGTATTAGTGATAACATCAAAACACAGAATTTCAAGTCATAGCATGATTTTTTTTTTAAGAGATTTTATGACCTGGTAACTAAGACCTTTAAGTCATGTCTTATTTTACTTTATATTCTTAATTTTATGAAAAATGATAATATAGAGTGAAATGAAATGAAGATGATTAATTTGAGACATTAATCAACTGGGATGAAATTTAATGAAATGAGATGATATGGGATGAAATATAATCGCAGTAAAATGGTGGTCATTTACTGAGATTTTTTCAGTGGACTTTTTGGAGGAACCCGAGAAGTTACGTCCAGCAGCTTTGTTTCATTTTCCCACATTTGTGCACTTTCACAGATATTAAACAGTTAATAAACCACCATTATTACACATTTAAACCTGAAGAAACACTAAATAGACAAAATAAAACAAATCACACAACTTCACTCCTCGCGTTCCCGCCAAAAAGTTGAGTCATAGCATGAAGATAGTCATGACCATAGATTATACACGTCATGACTTAAACAGACTTACCTATCTAAAACGATCGTTGACAATCCGAATATGTTTTGAGCGAAATTGGATTTATTTCCGGAAAAAAATAGGCGTTATATATTATATAAGCGGATGACCTTTTCTTACCGTGGCCCAATATATATATTTTATTTGGAGCTACGGCTTTATTTTGTTTAAGCTACTGGTGATGATTCACCTTGAAAAGCGATGATATTATTAAAAATTAACTACAGTGAACATTTCAAATTATTTAAATAAATCATAATTTATTATTATATTTTTTTTAAATTAAAATCATAACTTACTTTTTTTAACCAATGCTAATTATTTTTTATGTACATAAGATTAGTTCGCTCACCGAACATAAAGTAGATAGTAACTAGAGCTCATACACAAGGTCAATTCCACAACTCACTTTGAGAAATCACAATTGCTACAACGGCGGTTAGCTTTTCTTAGCTACGCCAGTAAAGCCGTTGATTCAAAAAGCAAAAACTTTCTTAAGTAAATGAAAAAAAAAAAAATCATT